ACCACCTTTGTAAATAAAACATCACTCGTATCATCAGTTTGCTGCATCTTGGGTCCTCCTTTTCCTCCACACCACACGGCTCCCTCCGCCAGCCGTGACAGTTTTAGCCTCAGCTATGTTGACACAAAGGCATCTGCTGTGATGCTTACACATTAGATAAAGTCTCGAAAGTGTCAGCTTTCTTTTTATAGTTATAAAAATATGCAAATGTACTGATCCATGATCTGAATTATACTATTGACTGACTGTCTGAGGCTAACAGTTACACAATCATACCAAAACTCTGTCCTGATAGTTTCCACTTTCTCTTTTGTATCACACATACTGAGACAATATTCGGGATAAATAACCAAGAAAACTATTTATTTATTCCGTTTAGAGGTTTACACATCATTATAATCACAGAGCCCGCTTCACTTGAATTGTCCACTTGATGGCGCAGTAGAGCAAATGAATCATCACAATGCTTCGAACCATGAGTCGACCAATTGGGTGGAAAGCTTCAGTTCATCATGAGGCTTCATCTCACCATCACTAGACGTATGCCCCCAACTCCCCTTCAAAGTCTTTTTAACAGATAGTCGGAGGGTCCCCTTTGTACCAATTGTTATTTTACAGTTACAGCGAGTAACTATTTCTAAAAGTTAAAGCTGACCCTTTGTTGCATTTGTAGCTTCTCTTGTTTAAAAGCTTGCATTAAGGACAGCTAGATTAAACTCCGCCTCTAGAGGGCAGGCTTGCCTTCATACAAATATCAAACCATATGACAAATATGCAAAGTTTTGATTAATACATTTCTCTGTATCTGGAGAAAATGGAGTAGACATTCCTTGCCTTTAAGTTTATTTTTTAAAGCACCTAATAAACAAAAATAAAAACAGAATAAAGTAAAAAGAAATTAAAGCAAAAATTAACAATACAAATAAGATTCTGAACAACAAAGAAGTGCAAACAATGTCAGCTGGCATTGGTGTCAGAAGCCTTACCTAACCAACTGGCCTCAGTCAGTCCCACTTGGCCCCCACCCTACCCCCTTCTGTCACTGTGCACCAGATGCCTGCTGGGCCACGTTCTCAGCCCTGTACACCAACCCAACCAACCAATGTCATCATCAAGTATGCCAATGACACCACCCTTTCTGATGGAGATGAGACAGCGCACAAGGCAGAGGTAGAGAACTTGTACCACTGATGCTCAGAAAATAACCTGACGCTTAACATCCTTAAAACAAAAGAACTCATAATGGACTTCAGGAGGCACAGACAGGTCCACTCCCCCCTGGAGAATGGGTAGAATCTGTCTCCAGCTTCAGGTTTCTGGGCACCCACCTCTCCACCAATCTCACCTGGATCCACAACACCAACACCCTGGTAAAGAAGGGCGTTGGTGCTGCTGCTGACCTTCCACTGTTCTTCAGTGGAGAGTGTGCTCTCCAATGCCTGGGTGTTTGGTACGCAGAGGCCCTACTGAGAACAGGAAGGGTCATTGAAACCGCTCCAAAAAAATCACTGGCTGCCCTCTGCCACCCCTGGAGCCCATCACCAGATCCTCCTGTCTCAGAAAAACCAGGACCATCATAGGTGACCCCGTGCACCACGTACAGTTTGACCCACTGCCCTCTGGTCGACGCCTCAGGTCAGTCAGGTCCCACACCTCCAGACTCACTAACACTGAGTAACCCTAATCACTCAGGGCATTCACAGACACACGGACTCTATTCAGGCCAAGTCTTTTTCTTTGCACTACCTCCAAGCACTTTGCAACTTTTTCTCCAATGTGTGCCTTTCTATTGCTTGTATATATCCCTCTTGAATGTATATCTCCTGTATGCTACTTATTCTTGCTGTCTGCCAATTATATTTAATTCCAACATAGTTGGTGTGGAGCAAACACAATTTCGTTGTACATGTACAATGACAATAAAGGGCTATTCTATTCTATTCTATTGTAAAAGCTTGGGAAATGAACTATTCATCCAGCCTGACAACGCACATATTTCTATCTAGTGTTCAATATCCTTCATACTGTGATTGAAAGAGACCTATTTGTCTGTCTGTGTGTCTTTTTCCTCAACAAATTCATATTTTCAGCTTCATCATCTGACCAAAAATATACTAGAAAATGTTTCCAAACTGCTACAGTTTAAATACTCATATCCACCAGGTGGCGCTACATCCTAATTTGAATTCTGCTGTAGAGTCATTTATGGGCTTTCATAGCGTACTGGGATTTCTTTGTAAGTAAAAAATTAAGCCGAACAAGCCACACTTATGTCCATTTGTTGTTCTGGGGTTATATGGGTGACCCTATCTTGTTATATATTAGATAGATAAACGAAAAGTGACGAAAAGTAGGCATGACGTCACTCTCGGTCTGGCCAGCCGCAGAGGCTTCTGGGTAGCTGCCGTGTCGGAGACATTTTGGATTTAAAGGGGCTGAGCTAGCCGTCAGTCCCAGCTCTCGGTAAGTGAAAAGCTGTATTTCCTCCGTGAAACGTTAGTGTTGTGTGAGCTTGTGTGTGGTTGTGTGCTTCGGGAGCATGGATTTTAGATGCTGCGTATAGAAATGAGCAGCTCTGCGCTTTGAACAGGATGAACTTGCGACATTTAGCCGGGGAGTGGTGACGCTATCGCTGGCTAGCTGAGAGCTAGCTGGGCGCTGAGCGGAGCTCTACACAGATCGGGCAGTAAGAGCTTTCAAAACTAAAGAGTCTTCGATCATTAAAAAACCCACGGTAAACCCATCAAAATTCAAGTGTGACCCTAGAGATCATAACGAAATTGGTAGGCGAAAGAAGAAAATGTCATGGATGGCTAAAGCTATATGAAATTGTGTTGTTCTAGAAAAGCGTCAGATGTCAGATTACCTGGTGTGTTTTGCGCTTTGAAGTGATGTCAAAATGTACACAGAGCTTTCTGTCCACATTAGCGGCAGTGCAGTGCTATTAACATGTAACTACCACGACTTTAGGATGGCGCCTCTGTTTTCAGCTGTTTCCCGTCATTATCTTCGGCTTGTTTGTGGGGAACTGCGATCTCGTCACAGGTGTCTGATTTTCCTGAATAATACTCCTCGGCATGGTACGATGCTGAAGTGAACATCTCTTCTTTTTTCCTAGCAATACGCAGGCATATTCATTTGTCAGACAGCCATTAGTGGGAAGCAGCCCTCCAGCTGCTGGTTTTGTGTAGTGATGGATGACTGAGGACAGTCAGTGGCACCTCCCTGCTGGTTGTTTCCAGGCCCTGCCACACCCTCTGGGTTGGCTGGCTCTCCTTTGTGTCTCTCACAGTGATACCGACACTGTGTTGGATTGCTGTTTTATTGTGCAGGAAATAAGGATTATTAATCCGGTGGTGTCAAACTTCACCAAGTGGACAGGAAAGGCGTCCCCTTGGGAGATGGCTTTGGTTTCTCCCACTGGCTTGGCTAGGAAGTTGCTGACTCCTCTCTGCCGTTTTCCCCCATTTCCTCTCCCAGTATGCATCACACCCTTTCTCAAAAAGGGTAGGCTAGTAGGATTGTTTACAACTAAACACAGACAATTTTAAAGAAGACTAGATTATTATCTTAAGATGAGAGTTTTTAACCCTGCCTCACAGACAAAACAAAATGAATACGAAATTAAAGTTGGTAGCAGAGCGTCCACATTTATGCCAGTTGTTATTGCATTAATCCACTGTTGTGATCTCAGTGGGGGGGAAAGCACTACCTTCACAAGTGACGGTAGTGATGATAGATGGGTTAGAAGAAAAGAGACGGAGTGAGGATGGTGTTGGCCGAGAAGTAAAGTAATAATGTGCATCCCGGGAGATGGAGACGAATGAAGGCTGTAGCTTCGAGGCCCAGATTTCCACCGGTTAGAGGGGAGTGAGCCAGTCAATATGGAGTACGCCAACCTCTGTTTAAATTGTATTTCATTCAATACATTGTTCCCTGCTCTCATACTGGCCTCGTGGTGGGAAGTGCTGTAATTGCAGTTGTATGACCTTTGAGCCTTCTTCAAGAATGACTCATCTAACTTGTCTTCCCGGTCCAAGTTGGGTAACAAGAGCTAAATCATGCCTATTCTGTTTATATTTTTCAGATTATTTTTAGGCTGCGTCTGTATATATGAGTGTAACTGGTGTGAGTCACAGTTTAAAGTCCACACATCACATCTGTTGAGATCCTGGAGTTTGTGAATTATGATTTTCTTTAACCATAGTATTCAAACCATCCAGTGCTCAACTGCACACCCCTGCTGCACGAGTCAGCCTATGAACATCGCTCGGGCGACTGTGTGAGTGACGTATCATGGCAGTGTAAATATTTTCTGACGTGCTGAAGGTAAACAGTATGTGAGGCATTTCATTCTTAGTGCCATGATGAGTATTATATGTAAATAAGCTCAGTATTGATATAAGAGCTCCTAGGATGCCAGACTATTTTGAGCCTGTGTCACTGAGGCTGTTCTGTTGTGCCTCATTAGGTCTCTTCCTTTGTGTGTGATGAGTATAGAGGAGAGGAGCAGGCTCTAGATCGGGATGACTCCCTCCCCCATCTGACCTGCTCCTCTGCACTCCTCTGTTTTTGTCCCTCTGTGGGCGGGCCCGTCTCCCGACGTGCACCCAAGCTGATGCTGGTTGTTCTGACGAAGCACTGGGGAAGGTCACATCATCCCGCAGGCAGCTCCTCGTCCTCATCCTCACCAAAATTAGCATTCGTCACTCTCATTACTGTCCAGCTTCATTTCCATTCGCTTCATTTTCACACTGAACGTTTATTGTGTTATTTTGTGTTTGTTTGTTTTAAAAAACAAAACAAAGGATCTCTCTTTGGATTAGGAGGGCAGGTTTATGATGCCGTTTGCTGGTGTGTAGCGCTTTTCCTCAAGGAGGAGGACATTATTTCACCAGCTTTTCCCCGTGCCAAACTGTGAGGTTCTGCTCTGCTTCTGAAACCCAGGTTTGTTTTCTGGTACAAGCTGTAGCAGCAGAAAATATGATGAATGGCTTTTAGCCTTTAGCAGCTATTTGTCGCTTTGTTTAATGACTTTGTCATGCATCGCTCTATTATTCTTCTATATATTCCACCTCAGTTTTTGTAAAGCTACAATTCCTTAAAAACTCCATCTGCTTTACCATGGAGCGAGATGAACGTCTGTTAAAGCAATGCGTGTCGTGTGCTTATTGAAATGGCAGGTCATGTAGCTGTGGGCTGGCAGTTTTGTTCAAAATGCTTTCCTGGTATGCATTTTCTAGCAACCTGACTTAAGCTGGAGAACCTTCGGTCATACTTGACCCTCATTATTCTTGAACCCAATGATGAGGTCACTTGTATTGAAGCCTGCATCGAGTGAATGTATACTGCTGCGCACGGTAACGTGTGCATCACGAGGGCACGTAAAAGCACCGTTGGCCTTTTTGTTGGTATAAGAGGTCATAAACTAGATGTGTTGTCTTTCATTTGTTTTGCTAGCATACTGCATTTGTGTGTTTCCATTTGATGATATCAGCTATTTCCCTCCCACATGATCTCATAAAACAAAGTAAATGTTAAAGATTAATCCAAGGGCAGAGAACAACAGGACTGCTGGACTTCTCATATACCTCTTTAAACACTTGGGGAAATATTAACTCGAGCCGTCTGAGGAAAGAAACTCCCTAATTGGAGTGCTTTATTAAAAGTAAAGATGCTGGCTCACATGAAAGCACTTCTCTTGTAGACCCGGCTTTCATCCATACAGGTGTTAAACAGCTGAGTCGGAGGAGCTCTACAGGGTAATAAGCTGTTTGATCTGCGAGCAGTGTTGATCTTTCAAAGAAAACATTTCATATCGTGCTCGCAGGAGTGAGGCGTCTCACAGCCAGACTTTCAAATGACTGCAGGCACAGATGAAAAATATAAAGCTGTCTGACACGCCTTCATGCAAAGTAAGGGTCTCTGCAATATTTGCTTTGACTTTAATGAAGCCTCAGTCCTTTGGCATCTCTGTTGATCGTGCAAGTAGAAGTTCTAGTTGATTTGTTTTTGGCATTTGAGTTCCATGGAACTGAGTGAGGGTTTTTCTTTTGTTTTTGTTTTCTTTTGAGTCTTTTCTGTTTGCTTTCATGTTTGCTTTCGCCTTCTAAAACCCTTATCTTCTAACGGCTTATTATTAGATTTTATAATGCATATTATATAATGTATTATATAATGTATATTGTGAAAGCAGTTCTAAGCCAGCACCAAATACAACACTACAGAGTTAATATTTCTGTAGGATTGCTTTTGTACTTTTAATTAGAGTTCAGTCAGTTTGGGATAGAAAAGGGGGCTTCTCTTAAGAGGTTGGCTGTCTCTTTGAATTTTCCATTGTACTGCTCCCCGATTAGAATAAGTATAGAGGGGTGGTTATATATGAAGTCGAGCGTGCTCCCCTCGTGGTACCATAGCTAATAAGCTCAGCATTGCTAAATACCATTGTTGAAGTGTTTTAACAGCTTAAACAAATGGCTTCATGCTTTACCTGGGCTGTGTAGAGAGTTCAGTCATTTCTCTCCCTAGAGATAAATTTGTCACAAAACAGAAAATTTTGCTTTTTTTTTTTTTGTATGTTTTGAATTTGCAAATTAATTTAATCTGTCGGATTCATGAGGATAGCAAAGGTTTTAATTAGAGAAAAATGGGTGGTGGGGAGAATTAAGACCGTTCTGTGTCCCTCCCATAACATATAAAATAGTGGTAGGTCACCCATCTCTTATCGGCCCCTGCTGCTGTCCTGCCCAGCCGGAGACCCCAGCAGTTGCTTATTTTGTTGCTTTCCACAGGCTCATTGGCATTCAGTTGTCCACTAGGCAAGTACAGCAGCTGGCCCCTGGCTGGCTGTTCGGCGTGGTACATATTAGTATAATGAATAACACCCTCATGACAGAGCCCAGCTGCGGTTACATGATGTGACATGCACAGGAGGGACATGATTGCCCAAAACTAGCTGTAAACCAGCTGGGTTTGTTTACCATGTTTGATTTAAAGCTGAGTCAAAGTCCTCTGAGAATATGCAAGCAGATAAAGTCATCTTTACAGGAGGTTTAAGGACATAAGAAAGCAGCAGTTAGTCCACCAAGAGAAATTAATCAGCAACTATCTTGATAACTCATTAATGGTTGTGCCTGAATTAAGCCAAATACGCCCCCGCCATCATGCTTCCTGTTGTCACAGTACAAAATAAAGAGCTCTTCACTGCAGTTCTTTGGGCCTGTTTTTAGTCTGTTTATTTTCTCTGCTGCTTTAAAAGACAACTGGAAGTGGTAAAGAAGGGAGTGGCTCACTAATGGTGTATTTTTATTTATTTATTTTTTACTGCGGATGGGTCTCAGCTGGTGTTTTTGTTACTGCAAGCTCCCGTTTCTCCTCAGTGCTGTTAAAATGCAGAATGCAGTAGTTCCAACACTGGCTGCACCCCAGCTGGAAGGGCAGGGCTGCGTTTTGCACTGACATTTGCATGATGTAGCCAGTAGTGATGTGGCTCATTGAGTCATAAGTTATCTTTATGTTATTTAGGTAAAGTGTTCCGTGGACTCGCCCGAGGGCTGACATTTCTAAAAACGACCATCACATTACTAACTCGCAGAGGTGTTTTTAAAATCTGTCGAGTTGGCCAGCTGCTGTGCTGCTGAAGCTTTTGCTACATCATTCTCTCCTTCAGTCGCCAGTGAATCATGCACCAAGCATGGCTGGCCTCTGTTTGGGTGCTGGCACCAGAGAGAAACCATACTGCAGCATCTGTGTGCCCTGTGTTACACAGCGAGCTGCAGCCCTGCTCCCAGCCTGAGCTTATTATAGGTGCCAAATCCCAGCAGTCGCTCCATCAGCATGATGTGTCCCATGGCTCTCAGCTAGGCAATATAATATATATATATATGTATGTTTTATGTAGCCACCCTTCTTTCTTTCTTTCTGTTTGTGCTCAATATATGTGCTTATACAACTGCTGACGTACTTCTCTTATGAAATTTGAATCTCTAATCTGAGCTGTAGCAATAAACATGCATTCATTTCCCCTTTTATTGCCATCACCTTGCTGCAGGATGAGGTTGTGATCTTATTAGCAGAGTAGCATCTGTCAGAATTAGGCACATACATAATCAGAGAATGCCTTAAGTGCTAATTGTGTAAATGATCATTAAAAACTAAAGATGCATTTGGTTAAAGAGAGGAACTGTACTGAGATGTGTTTTGACATTTGCAGTGAGCTGAGCCAAATCAGCTGTGCTCTTAGGTTCTGTTCTGTGTTAAGCAAGCACAGCTGTATGTTTGACACATCATTATGAAATTGTTACAGCTGCTGCTGGAATTTTCCTACAGTGTCTTAGGTTTTTCCTCCAATCTTTTACAGGTTTCCCTGAGCTAAAAAGATGTCCACCATGGTGTACCCACGGGAAGAGAAACTGGAGAAGCTTTCTCAGGAGGAGATCATCTCGAACACAAAGCTCGTGATCCAGGGTCTCGAGGCCCTGAAGAACGAGCATAACTCCATCCTTCACAGCCTCCTGGAGACCATCAAGTGCCTAAAGAAGGATGAAGAGGCCAACCTGGTGCACGAGAAGTCCAATCTTCTCCGCAAGTCAGTGGAGATGATTGAATTGGGCTTGGGAGAAGCACAGGTATGACTGAGAAGTTACAAGGATTTACAGAATTGTATGTTTGAACCTAAAGAGGAGATTCAGTTTAACCACGCTGATGATATGAGTGAAAGAAAAATTTGTGTGTTGTCAGACAAACAGAAGGGTTTCTAAAGTGGTAGATTTGTTTTATTATCTTCTTTGGTTGTTCCTGCTTCCTCACAGCTTCCTCATTCTATACTGAGCCTGTGCTGTGATCATGATTCACTGAAATTCAGACCCAGTTTATACTCTGCCGCCCTGTCACCGTAACATTTTGTCCTTGATAAATATCGCTGCTCTTCAATGTTGTCTCTATCCCAGGTGATGATGGCCCTGTCCAACCACTTGAACGCGGTGGAGTCGGAAAAGCAGAAGCTGCGCGCACAGGTGAGGAGGCTTTGCCAGGAGAACCAGTGGTTGCGGGATGAGCTGGCCAACACCCAGCAGAAGCTACAGAAGAGTGAACAGAGCGTGGCCCAGCTGGAAGAGGAGAAGAAGCACCTGGAGTTCATGAACCAGCTCAAAAAATACGATGAAGATGTCTCACCCACTGTAAGTAATGATTATACAAAGATTATAGGCCTTAATGTGGGATTAGATTGGTACATTGAAGAGAACTGATTTTTGTGTGTATATGGTCTGTATTGCAAGAGGCATGTAGGAAATATATTCGTCCTTATTTATGTTCTTAACTGGAACATTTTCAGCTAAATAGATTCAAGTTGGGTTTAGCATAAGAAGGGAAATGGAAAAAGACTTTAGTTTTTCTTGTAGTTGCTGATATAACTCTGAAGGACACGAGACTGTCAGCATAATTGGCCGCAAGGGGAAAAAAAAACTCACTGTTTTTGTTAAAACAAGAAAACTTTGCATTCCTTCCTGGAATGAGCCATTCTGGTGTGGTCCTCATTGATCTGGTGTCAAGGATAAATCTCTCTATTTTCTTACCATATTGTTAGTCACAGATGGTGGATGCAGGCTATTACAGCCTCTAACTGCTTAGCTCAGCAGGGGCCCATCCAGCCAGAGCCGGAAAGTTTTTGTCTTCCATTTTCCACATTAAAGAAATCTTTTAGTGAACATGGATGAGTGCAGTTTATCCTTAAGATCTCATTCATCCTTTCAAGGGGAAATAATTCTTGAATAGTCTGTTTAATGTTCCCATCCTAATTGTTTATGATGATGATGATGATGATGATTATTACCATTTTTGTATTTGTTAAAATAATTTGTTTTGTTCATCTTTGAAATTTACTCCTTGTGATGTATTATTAAGGATGATGGTAAATGAAATCTTCACTTTTCTAAATAACAGGCTTGCCTCATCTCTCCCTGTTAGACGTTAACACACATTTCACATGTCTGATAAAGGCAACTCTTGAATTATACCTGTTGTTCGTTAGAGAGTCTGACTGGCGGGTTTTTCATCCTCTCAGCAGGAGGAGAAAGACCGAGAAACACCAAAGGACTCCCTGGATGACCTCTTCCCCAATGATGAGGAGGAGCACGGCCAAGGAAGTAAGAACAAACGGCAACACTGACTCATCTGATTATCTGAATGAGAGAGAGCTGTCTTTCTTGGTTTGCTGTCGGGATAATATTGAATAAATTGTGTCATGCATAATCTCAGAGTAAAATAACCTGGCTACCTTATTCCAGGACAGTGGTGTGTGTGTTACAGTTTTCTATTCACTAGAGCCAATCTGACCATTTGATTTTGCACGTTTCCTTTGTCCCCCACAGTGCAGCACCAACATAACAGTGCAGCCGTGGTCGCAGCCCAGCAGGGAGGCTATGAGATCCCAGCACGTCTGAGAACCTTGCACAACCTGGTCATCCAGTATGCCTCTCAGGGCAGGTACGAGGTGGCCGTGCCCCTGTGCAAGCAAGCTTTGGAGGACCTGGAGAAGACCTCGGGGCATGATCACCCTGATGTGGCCACCATGCTCAATATCTTGGCTTTGGTGTATAGGTCAGAAAACATACTGTGTTTGGCTTTTCGTTGCCGTGTATCCTGTTTTATTTGTTGAGCTACACATGGTGTTCTCTGTTTCTCCTTTGCACAGGGATCAGAATAAATACAAAGAGGCAGCCCATCTGCTCAACGACGCTCTATCCATCCGTGAGAAAACCCTGGGCAAGGACCATCCTGCTGTAAGACTTCACGGTTGCCATGGCTACCATATCTTCATAGGGACTCATCCATGTTTAGACAGATCAGATTAGTTATCTTTTGTTTGTTCATACCTCCCAAAGACTCAATAGGAAGGCAATATTCTTTTTTACTGTCCTACTCAATCAGCCTGTATAGATTTTTCCGACTATTAAAGTATGGATTTCTGACCATGTGCCTGCAGGCTTGAAGAGATCGGTCATCAGTGTTCAGTGTCTGCCTGTACATCCGGCATTAACCATTGAATCCTTGCAGTTTTAATACAGCAACCAAAAGGGAAACGTTAAAAGACACTGTTTCCTTTTTTGTGCACAGATGTGTAAGACTACTAACACCGAAGCACTAAAACTCCCCACAAAGCCTAAAGGAAGCCTGTAAAGCTCTGCTGCACTGTGGTCTTTGCAGTTTGTCACAAGGCACTTACTATCTAGGTTTTTCTGAGAACACTGAACAGCATACATTTTCGGACTATGATAATTCCTTGAAAACAGTGAATTTTGAAATCTAACCTGCCAGTACAGTCATTCTGGTTTTTATTTTTTATTTTTTCCAGGTTGCTGCCACCCTGAATAACTTGGCCGTGCTGTATGGAAAGAGAGGGAAGTACAAGGAGGCCGAGCCTCTGTGTAAGAGAGCTCTAGAGATCAGAGAAAAGGTAGGCCATATCCCTAGATTGCACCAGCAGGGCACTGCTATCGAGGTCTCATCTCAAGGCTAAACCAGTGAACAATTAGCCCATTGTTATAAAGTAATTAACAGTGGTAACATTTCCAAAATGTCAGTCAAAGCTAGTGTAATACCAGCTACTATAAATAGGAAAAAGAGCAAATGATTTTCTTAAATTGTCTGTGAAGTTTCCACTGGGGGCCATTCCTTTGTCAGCAGGGAATTAGGGTTTAATTGAGAGCGCAGCTGAAAATGGATAGCAGGCGTTGGGGGAGCGAGGAAGGAGATGGATAGGAGACATGACAAAACTACCGAGCTCAGCATGGTACAAAGAGTCTCTCTTTGCCCGAAAGCTCTATTCTGTAGCCTCGCTATTGATCGGCCAGCCTTTTATTAGATCTCCTGAGTGCCTGCAGCAGGCTGACGTGCTGCCTGGTGAAAGCAGCAACAGGATTTGGAGCTATAGAAAGGAGAGATGCACTGAGGCAGAAAGACAACCTGAACATATACTTTTCTGATATCCATCAGGTCCTGGGGAAGGACCACCCAGATGTGGCCAAACAGCTGAACAACCTGGCCCTGCTGTGTCAGAATCAGGGCAAATATGAGGAGGTGGAATATTACTACTGTCGTGCCCTGGAGATCTACGAGTCCAGGCTGGGCCCAGATGATCCAAATGTGGCCAAAACCAAGAACAACCTGGTGAGCGAGAAGTTGACAGGAAATCCACTCGCATGGTCCTTTTTCTCGTCTTTCTTTCAAACCTTTCACTTCTAATGCTGTACTTGTTGATAAGAACTGCAGTCTCTGTTGAGCTGTGAGTGTAACGAGGTAAACGCAGGCAGAGTTTCCTTTGGTTGCCAACAGACTCGATCATTTGTTCTGTCAGCCTTGGTCTCTGGGGAGGTGTTGAGCTTGTATATTGGTGCCAGCCTGCAAAGATTCCACTTGAAATATGTTTTAAACTCAACTGTTTTTTTTTTTCCCCCTCCCTTTTTCTTCCAAAAGGGCACGACTTACTTCAACACAAGATTTTTTATAAAAGTTAGCAATCAATTTACTCTTGCAGCATAAGATTTGTCACCTCAAAAGGTGTTTAAAGAACTGTTTCGTGTCACTTAGCATTGCTTAAAGAGCACAAGGTTAGTAGTCTTTTATCTGCTGTTCTGCTGCATCCTCAAGGCTTTCCTTTTCACTTATGTCCGCACTGCCTCACTGATGATGGAGAGAATTTATGTACAGCGAGGGAGGCAAAATCTGATCCAGTAAGCCCGTTTGGTTCAACACTAAAATCCCCTTTTACCTCTTTGTTCTTCAGGCATCCTGCTTTCTCAAACAGGGGAAATACAAGGAGGCTGAGATTCTCTACAAAGAGATCCTGACTCGTGCTCATGAGAAAGAATTTGGATCTGTTGATGGTAAGGTCATATAATGGCTACTGGAGCGTGCATGTATAGCAGTGAATGTTTAATTATATTAGTACAAATGAGAATTTTTATTCTTACCAGTGAATGACTATAAAATGATCTCAGGAGAACTGCAGCTCAGTAATTCAGCATTATTTTGTTGTTGTTTTTCACTTTTCTTATCCATCCACTGTTTGTGCCACACCAGCGAGCAGTGATGGACAGGTGGTTAAAAAGTGGACTTGTGTCTAAGCACGGTACCAAGCTTCACCATTCAGAGGACTCGATCTTTCTGAAGAAATAAAGAGTTTGCTTTGAAAGATGAACTCTTGCAATTTTCTTCTCTTTTGGTTTAAAGTAAGCTTTTTTGTTGGCTTTCCTCCATGGATTAGACTGACTGCTTTGAAAAAGGAATAAAAGTCACTTGGCACAAAGCAACGCTCTGACATCCAACTTTTTCAGAGAAGTTTATTCTTTGTGTGTCACTTACCTTGATAATATTGTAAGATTTTTCTTTTCTTTTTTAATACTAAAGTGCTTTGAAGGTTAAGGTGACGCAACTTGAAGCAGCAACAGTTAACGATAAATATTCTTTCTTCTTAAGGTGGCAGCACTTTATGCAATAATCATGTTTTATCTTCTTTGTCTTTATTACCTCAACAGTAGTTTCGTCTTCCTCTCTACACCATTAAAAACAATTTTAATGGTGCTTTTGTACTGTCTGTAATTTGTTTGGGGACGAATCTGCAGTAAATTTATTAAAGCTGTTACACTCGTACTCTATTACTAAACCACCAGCACATCAAGCAGGTGCAGATGTTTGCCTAAACCAGTAATGATCTTTTAAATGAGTTGCAAGTTTGCAAACAAAATGTCATAAATAAATTCCCTTCTTTACACCACCTGACCTGGAAACCCCGAATCAGCCCAATATTTGATGTGCTCGCACATGCACAGAGGTATAAGTAACTGTCCCAGGGTCTCAGCAAGATGGGTGCTAGACTTTCCTCAGAGTCATGACCTCACTTCCTGTTAAGTCTCTCATTTCTGTTGGCTTAAATAGTTAAAATAGTGCTTGACTTTTTTAATGCTTGGTCAGATCTACTGTGCCATCAGTCTAAAATCTCAGATGGATTCTGGTGAATACTTGGAAAAATATGAAGCCTCAGAAATGTTATAAAATCCATCATGGTAGTAACTGGAATAACCCGTTGAACCCACATTCATTTTCGACCCACCGGTGGCGGTACAGCACTTGAATACTTAATAATTCCTTTACCCCTTCGCAGCTCTGCCTCCTTCTGAAATGGCTCAGTCACATGTTTCCAGATTCACTCTTTAGCCAAAGCGACACACGTTCACTCTTCCACCACACGTAGCTGATTTCACTTTTCCAGGCATGAGGCTAATTATTTAAAATCCCAACGCATACACCATCTCTCCTGTCTGTCTGCAGCTGACAACAAGCCCATCTGGATGCACGCCGAGGAAAGGGAGGAGAGCAAGGTGAGCAGCTCTCTGTAACCGTCCTCGCGTGAATTTGAGCAAAAGCTAAACAAACAAAACTTGTTTCAAACAGCTTTTCTAACACAAGGCTGAGAAATGAGGAAAGCATGTCACTTCGTTATAATAGAAATGCAATCCTTGAACTAATCCCCGGAAGTTAAATGATAGTTAAACATAAACACAATATTGCTCATTCATTTGAACCACACCCCTTCATGTTTTTCTTCCTCTTCTTTCTTATTTACTTCCAGGGCAGGCACAGAGACAATACTCCATACGGAGAGTACGGAGGCTGGTACAAGGCCTGCAAAGTCAATAGGTGAGGCGGAGACTGATAAGTGTTTTTTACAACATGGTCACGTGACAAAGACGGAAATTAATTATTTAATTTGCTTTGTATGTCACTAACTTGTATCGGAAGCTTTTTTTTTTTTTTTTTTTTTTGTAAAAATATTATTTTTAGACTTGTGTAACTTATGTAACTTTATTTGCTTTGTTCAGATTCAAATAACGAAACTTGTCTGTGCATCCAGCCCTACAGTAAACACCACCTTGAGGAACCTGGGGGCTCTGTACCGCCGCCAGGGCAAGCTAGAAGCTGCTGAGACCCTGGAAGAGTGCGCTGCGAGGTCTCGCAAGCAGGTCAGCATAGTTTTCTACGTGAAAATAGTAATATGTTCCCCATGTTAGCACAGTGAATCTCATGATATTTCTTTCCCTTTCCCTACATTGCTATGGATCCAGAGCAACACAGTAAGTTGATTTGTCTCTAACTAGAGCCTCCACTTCTCTCCCCTAACATCACTCCCATCTCACAGTCATTTAAAATGTGTCCCAGTGCTTTGAAAGCATTAATAGGGGAAAGGAAACATGAAATCACGTTTAATTCCTCCATTTAACTTTGCACTCCTGCCAATATTGACATGCTGACGGCTACATCAGTGCTACTTCTGACTGTTTTTGTTTTGTTTTTTGTTTCTTTTTTCTTGCATCTGTGTGTTGCACCCATCAGGGCATCGACCCAATCCACCAGACACGTGTGGTGGAGATCCTGAAAGATACAGAGGGCGACAGGCGGAAGAGCAGGGACAGTCTCGCCAGCGTTAAGTATGAGAGCGGCTCTGAGACCGGCGAGGAAGTGAGTATGGGCGTGGAGTGGAACGGGGTGAGTACAAATCCACTATGGTTGAGTCAACGTGTCCGCTGGCCTCTCTGGAAAAACGAGGCTGTGTTGGTAATATCACAGCGAGGGTGTACTGGTACAGGACGCTCAGAATAAAGGACAAAGACGTGTTATGTGTTTAAAAGGAGAGCCGAGAGGATTCCTTTCTGTTAGGTTAGTGCAGTGAGGACAGCGACTCCGCTGGCTCAGAGCCAGTCAGGAAGCCCTCAATGAGTCCAGACTTTACCAAATCATCTGGATGACCTTGTAATTATGCGAGTCATCACATTGAAGCACACTTTATTTTGATTTAGTGGATTATCCACTCAAAAGCCTGTTCTCGATTTTGGCTCCACCCAGTGAGCTATACCTGTACCAGTCCACCATCTCCCTGTGAATATACCACCATGAGATTTAGCTGCAAGTTCAAAGTGTAACGCTGATTGAGTGTCTTGGCATGCTGCACCCTCTTTATTTTGACAGCATCAAAACTCAGTTTTGGACTCCATGTTAACTTTTTTTAATAAAGGCTGTTTTTCTGGCGATGCTTTTGCACAAGTGAAGCAGTAACTATGAGGCACAGGTTTAGACTGTGGCACCCTGGCAACACATTAAACATTCATATGCCCAGAGATATAGCCTGTCTACATCTCTAATAGGATGTGTCATGTTTCTGCCATTAAGCACAACTGACAAGGTTCCTGATATCGTCGGTGCTCGTGCCTCTGCTTGTCCCTCCGCTCAGTAATCAGAGTGGCTGATATGTAAGACTTCATCCTGCTGCCTTATTGTAATGTTCACTCTGGCTGTTAGCTGCACTTTTGGCCTTTTACAGTGAGAAAATAGGCTATAAAACATGGCGGTCTATGCAGTCAAATTGGCACCGCTGTTGTTGGGGCGCAGTTCACCCCCAAATAATGAGACTTGCATAAGGCATGAGAGAGTTGGCAGGGATGCCTCATCTGAGCCTGTGCCTCACCCCTCACTTAAGTGCAGCCACGCCCTCCGCTGCGCCAACCCAGTCCAAACATGCATGCAGCAATGCCAGCCCGCTGGGCCTCCCCTCCCCTTAACAGCACACACTAACGCACGTCATGTGTTCAGTGTGTTTTCACTTGGTTGAGAAGTGTCTTTTCTTTAACCTGATGTCTGCTGCTCTGCACATGTTCATAAGCGTAACACGGCTACTCCACACTGCTTCACAGCGCGCTGCAGCAAATGTTAAGTGTGTGTGTGTGTGTGTGTGTGTGTGTGTGTGTGTGTGTGTGTGTCATTAGCCAGCGTATAGCTATAGCAGCAGGAGTTAAACTGACTCAGTTCAAACAGAAAATGTATTCATGACATTCTCATGCTTTTTCTGACTATTTTCTAGTCATGTTAACTTCTGCTTTTTGACTAAGCAAGTTTTGTTTTTATTTATAACAAATTCCATCCATCCATTCATTTTACGCAGCTTAAAATGGCTATTGTCTTTCAAAGATTAGTGTAGGAAAGAGTCTACTTGTGTCTTGCCGCGTGGTGATGTGGTTCAGAGCTGTCACTCACCTTTGCTTAAAGTCTCATCTCCTCTTTCTTCTGCACTCAGTCTGCTGTGTCATTAACGTTGTGGAAGTTGTTTACATGCTTCAGATGTCTGAAAAAGCACTTCCTGTTTTGCTATTAAAGTGGCGCTTGTCTAGGAAATAACCATGAGACGACAGCTTGTCAGCGCATTTGTGCTTGTGTACAGGTTAATTACTGACGTGTATGTGTGGCTCTTGTTTTTAAAAAAAAAAAAATGCATGATTCCACTTCCTGTGTGTCTATAAGTGGTCTGCTTTAATATGCTGCCTTTTTAGCTGCATGTTTTCCAGATTTCACCTTCTGACTTTTTTTTTTTCTCATCCCCCCTCCCCCCCTTGTGTTTGTCAATAACGTGCTTCCATGTCGACTCCTCTTGCCATGACAACCAATCAGCCTGTCAGTCAAATTTGCTCTTCTCATTCAGTGGATTGTACTCTCCCCCTCTCCACACAATAAGCTTGGGTGGGTTGGTATTTAGGTACTCGATGAGTAGAATAGATTAGTTTTAGTCAGGTGAGGACGTAGGTGGAGGATCGTGTGTTAGATGCAGCTTCTGTGAAATGTATACTACTTAGGTTTATTCATGTCCCACCATCAGTGTGATAGTTATCGAAGTATTCCCATTTCACTGCTGCTGCTTGCAGATGTCTCACGTCTGCAGTGCACAGTCACCGGCTGGGCACTGTGTGCCAAGTTCAGCCTTTCTGGTACCCCAAGAGGAAAGAGAAACAGCTGAGTCACGGTGACTGCAGCCAGCACCTACTGCTTCGCTTACCTGCTAGTGTAGCATCTAAGACAGATGTAATCTTTCAGAGAGAATCGGAGCCTGATGCTCCCGTATCATTTACCGTTTACTAAATTAGGGTTTAGAAAAAGAATAATCAGCCTCCAATCTGCAGGAAGTTACTGAATCTAGTGCAAGTCATGGGTAATTTATCAAAGCGTAGATGACTAGAGTAGGAAGCCCAACCCAGAGCTCTTAATCTTACGATGTGTGCCTTCTTTTTTTTTTCTTTTTCTTTTTGTCTGTTTCTCTCTTTTATCAGGCCTAAGCCATCAAGACTATTCCTCCATCCTTCTCTCCTTCCCCAACACAATAGCAAAAGGATGTGTGTTGTCATTCCCTCTGGCCTTCTCTGTCCAACAGCTCCTCTGCCATTCCTGATGCTCCCCCCTCTCCTGCGGCAGAGACTCAGAAAGCCCCCCTCCTGGTTGTCACCTCTCTCCCCTGTTCAACTGACAGCTGCTGGGACGTTTGGTCTTCTCACCTCTGCTCTGTTTTCTCCTCCTTACTTTCTCTCTCCCTGTCCTTCCCTCTCACTAACCTGCGTCACCCCTTCCCCATGTCGGAACTTCTACTCTTTCTGTCACAAAAAAGACAAAAAAAAGAAAAGAAAAAGTCATTGTGTGTAATCTTTCCACGTGAGGAAGTAACTCGCACATTTTCCCTCTATTCAGACCCGTGTGTCTTTACCACAGGGGCACAGCAGATTTATTTATTGGCTCATAAGAGGAGCAGCCATTTATTGAAACAAGGCAGAATAGCTCCAGACATCACTCCAGCACATAACCAGATAAAGCGCTACAGATAATGAACTTCCACGGTTACTCTGCATTGTTCTCACTCCAAATTTGTTTGCCTTGAGCACAACAAATGACAGCTAACATCAAAGCTAGCATCCAACCCGGTGCCTGTATTTAGCCATAATTGTATCTTTTTGGGGTTTTTGCCAGTGTGTATTTGACAGTTTGAACTAACGCCTGCGATCAAATGCTTAACAAGTTTTAAAATGAATGGTACTGTATAGTTTGACACGTTGACAGTCAGCGGGAAAAGTAAAGGGAGTGTTGCCAATTTTGTTTTGGGGTTGTTGGTTTTTTTTGTGTGTTTATAGATATATTTGCTATTAATTTGTTTTGGTTTATTTTGTATGAAATTGTTTACATTTTCTAAATACTTTATTATGTGGCTCAATATAAAGGCAGTAGTATGTCAACATTGCGTTGCCCGCTGTGACGGGACCGGAACAGGATGGAGGCCAAAACGTGACGGCAGATTAGCCAGATCACAGCAAGCTGTTGTGTCGCCATGGTAATTTATTTTCAGCTTCTGCTTACTCGCTTCAGTGTGACTGTTTCAAGCTTTAGCAAAGGCTCTACAGTCACGTGCATTTACAAAGGGAATTAGCAACATTGGCTGACGCTGTGAAGCCCACACAATAGCAGAGACCTACTAGCACAAACACTGGCCACCTGAGTGATCTCTATATAGTTTAATAAATGGGCATAAATGCCCACAATTGCCTTGATCTGTTGGTGTAGCAGTAGAGGATAGCATCGTAAATCAACAGAAACCTGGATCCTACAGTAGTTGTAGTGTGTATTCATGTGTATGTTTGGTGGTACAGTCGCAGCGCCCACTCTGGCTATGGATGCTGTATTTTGAACACAGTTTAATGGACTTTTTCTCACACAGTTGTTTGCAAGTAAACAGTCGGTGAATCATGTTTTTAGACACCAGGCGTACAGTGCGAGTGTTTCCTCAAGATCAACATTATTTCAGATGTTTAACTAACTGAATGTAAATGATTTAACATCTTGGAAGTGTAATAGTAGGCTGTATTTATAGTTGACAAGTGCATTCACTATATGGCTTTTCATCATGCTACTCGCCTTGATTCTTCATTCCTTCCCATGCGAACACCTATACTTCTAATGCAACTATGAACAAAATAAATAAATAATAAAAGACTGTGTCCATCACATAATTATGGCAATATTGTTGTGTTAGTGGAATGCTTATTTATTGAACTGTCTGTTCTCGACATATGTAGTGTGACTTTCAGTTTCCTAAAGAACATAAATGGAAAAGTCTATAACGCACTTAGTAAGTAGGATTGCATTATAATTACCATTCTGCATTGTGAAGGTTATTGCATCGACACTTGTTGGTATTCTCAAATAAAGTTTTTCCATTTGTGAAGTCTGTCTTTTCTCTGCTTCTGATGCAAACAGACACACACACTCCTGCTTTGAGGTTTTAATGTCAGCTGCTGAGCCAAACAAGCAACAGAAATCGCATCTGTGCACACAGCTCCCTCTGCTGGTACTCCTGTAGTAGTGCAGTGTGACAGCCACTTTATAGAAAAAGTTCCGTTTTATTTATATTGCACCAAATCACAACAGCAGTCGCCTCAAGGAGAAAAGGACACACTGGGAAAGCAAGACAAGTACATGTTGTATTTGCTGATTAGAAATTAAAACAGACACTTTACAAGTTGGTTGCTATTACACTTAGACACACACGCACAGGAGAATCTAACAAATGAATGAATGGATGGATTATTGCAATTAACTTTAAGGTCATTTTAAAATTTGAATAGAACATCCTGATTTTTATTAGTATGCTACTGACAAAATAAAACAGTCATATTTAAGTAAATCTTACAAATAAAGCCATTCATTTGTTTGCTGTGTTACCGAGTCCCAGGAACCTAAAACTGCATATCTACTCCACTCGTGTAACCATGGTTACATATCTTCTTAAAATCAATCTCTGCTTTCTTTCTGCTGAAAATGAACTTCAGATTATCCAATTTATCAGACTGCAAGGTTGCCGATTTCCTTCCAACATGAAGTTTCATGTTTGTTTTCCTTATGAATCAAACCAGCAACGATACGACAGATCTCTGTAGCAAAAGCTAATTTTCTCAATGAAGATGTGCCATGTGTTAATAATGACTATATATATATATATATATATATCTATAGATATCTATAGATATAGATATAGATAGATATATATATAGATATATAGATATATCTATATATAGATATATCTATATATAGATATAGATATATCACTCAGCACAACCTTTGGATCAAGCTATAAAGACTTGCATGTAAATGGAAGTTGACTGATTCTGGGTAGATGCTTCCAGCTCTGTGACACCTAATTTAATTGTGTGAGGCACCATGAACACGTCGTTTGGCTGGGAGCAGCCGATTAGAACGTGTCGTGATGTGCTACACGACTCAAGCGAAACACAAACATGCATCTTGATAATTGATGATTACTGGTTAATGATAAGAACAGGCATGTTTGCAGCGGGGAGTGTGGATGAGCTAACGAGCATCTGTGTGTGTCTGCAGGATGGCAGTGGAACCCTCTATCGCAGTGGCTCTCTGGGGAAGCTCAGGGATGTTTTGCGTCGCAGCAGCGAGATGCTGGTGAAGAAACTGCAGGGCAACGTACCCCCTGAACCTCGCAGCACCAAGTAATAACTCAAGCAATCTTCTCTTGTGATGGATGTTTTACGTTATAAATGATTCCAAAGAAATGTACTGCTTCTACAAGTTCTCAGAGGGCTTTTCTAGTCTTAATGACACCACAGAGCCTTTTACATGATAAGCCACATTAAACCTTTCAACATATGTTCTTAGTGCAATTTCTCTCCACTGAATTTAATTAGCAGGTCACAGTTTATTGGACATTTACTCCCCAAACGTGGTCAGGCCTGGTTTTGTGTGTGTGCTCTCCTCTCAAAGAAACAAATGCCTAATCTTTGTTTTCTTTGTCCATCAGTATGAAGCGAGCCTCTTCCTTGAACTATCTGAACAAATCCAGCGATGAAACGTTCCAGGTTGATGATCAGTTTTTGTAAAGATTTGCATTTTGTTGTTGTATTTATTTATTTTTGAATGCTCCACTTGAACCTGTGTTGTTTCCTTGCCAGAATCGAGGGGGCAATAATTTCAGGGAGAGCCGTGGGCTCAGCTCCAGCACTGTGGATCTCTACTCTGGAAACTGAGCAGCAGGCGGTTCTGTTCACCCATCCAAAGACACTACTCCCCCTCCTCTTCCTCCCTTTGGCCTTCGGCAACAGAACCGTCGGACAGTGTCGAGTCCAGCACGCATTTTGTCCACACGCCTGACCCAAAGATCCTCTTAGATTCCCACTCATCAGGATGAATACCTACGCAACCAGTCTGATATTTTTCCCGTTGCCACATTTCTGCATTTCCCTCGTCGTAGTCCTAATGTCTTGTTGCCTTGGAGCCTTGGTGCCTCCTAATTGTGGCCAAGAAAACCTGCCGTACCTCATCTCTGCCCTTAATTCATAATCACTGACTCTGCACTTTGAGTTTGCCATAAATGCCACCTTTTGACAGTAATAACCGATTTTTAGTTAAGATTAAGTTTTTCTTACATGTAAATAAAAGATACTTTGTAGACTGTAGATTTATTTTTGCCTTCGACGGTAGATAAAGATGAAAAGGTTTTGGGTTTGAAATGACGTCATGTAACGTTTTCCTTTTAATGATTTGCCCGTTGAGATTTATTGCGATGTTAGGGGTGTAGCTTCAAACTTTGGGAAACAGGGTGAAGATGTTTATTCTACTGACGTGACTGTAACTGAAATTATAGCTGCTGCTTTAACCACTACAGCTGATCTCGTGCGTTGCAGAGAAAGACACAGGTGTAATCGTGTAAACCATGGAAAGCACTCCTTAAAAAAACAACTTGTGTATGTACATATATATGTGTGAAAAAGTGAACCAATCAGGACTGAACTGTTCATCCTGAACAGTGGTGCCATGCAGGACTTGACTGGTGTATGTTAGTCCACTCTGAGCACATCTTTCTGTAATGCTGTGATTGGGGATGTGTGATTTGAGTGTGTTGTTTGATTGTGTTTTTCGTGTCGCTACTCAAAAACAACTGGAATGGGGTTTTTTTCTAATTCCCTTATTTTGCCTTTGTTTTCATTTCATTCTATGTAATAAATATAAAAGATAGAATATGATCAAGTGCTCAAATTTCAACAAGTAGAAAGCGCTTTTCATTTAAGGGGACAGTTGCATACGCGTCTGTTTTGATCTGATACTTAAAACGACCCCAGTTGGTGTCTGATCCTGATAAAAGAAATAAAACCATTTTCTACTCAGAATTGAATTCGCTTGAATATCTTCGTCTTATCCACTTACGCTGTTCCACCAAGCGAGATCTTACAACGTCAGACTCCAGTGTGAGTGTGGGAACTCGGGGAACATAGATGTCTTACTAAGATGCGAGACTTCTGAGTTTTCCTCCTCCCACCTGGTACAAATCAGCGTGGAGGGGGTTTGTCTGCTCGCTGCTAATCTCTCAGGATGTCAGAGCTTTAATGTGGAGCTTTATATGAACCCATACTCGTGGTTTTGGGTTCTGCTGAGAGCTGCCAGATTCCCTTTTTTCCTGTTTCTAAGAGGTAAGTGACTAGCAGCAGAGTTAATTATTGCATGGGAGCTGACACCATGCCCTCAGACACTTCAAGAGTGGGACTACTGCCTCTCTTTCCTCCCTCAGGAATTCATTTTGTGAATGAACTTGTTTTCTATATCTGCCCCCTTGAAAAGGTTTTACTAACCCTCTATTAATCCTCTAAAGTGTTTCTGTCAGCCACAGTCATCCGTGGGCCAAGTGGACCAGCAACGTGGCTCTGGGCCCACACATATCCCCAACGGTGGCGCCAGCAAGGGGCCGTCACCTCGTGGTCAGAGTGATGTGAACTCACAGAAGGTGTTAACAGGGACATGCATTCCTGCTGAGGTCTGTGAGGTCCCCTCAGTATTGTAGAGTCTTTACTTTAAGCTATAAAGACGACTGTTGTTGTGAATCGATGCTTTTTGTATGCATAACACCGAACTGAGAGAGAGTACAACATTAATTAGGTTAGTAATCTGCAAACACGTAAAAGCGTGCAGGAATTACAGAGTGAAAAAAATCTGACATGTTTCTTTTGGACCAGTTATGTTCAATTTGTAAATCTTCTGCATAAAAACAACTTTAAGATATTGAAAATATAAAACATTTGAATAAAAATCTGAATTATTTGAGTGATATGTAAGGTTTCTGTATAAGGTAACAGTGCTCAGGTTGAACCAGAGGGTCGCGGTGTTGTATTCCTTATCCCACATCAGGCACGGCCACCGGAAGCTGCACCCGAGGAAAAAAATGGAATAACCCGTGAAGTAACCAGAGTGATACGGGAAGTTTAATTTCAAAATAATATACATTTGTTTTTCCATGCCGGTTACTTAACAGCATCAATGGCATAGAAAACAGTGTCTCGATAATATTGAACACGTAATTATTTAAAAACACAAACAATAATAAATTATTTATTAACTTATTTATTAATAAGTTAATAAATAATTAACTTATTTATTATGTGCAGTAGTAATATAAAAAATATTACTACTACTACTACTAGTAGTAGTAGTAATAATAATAACAATAACAATAATAATAATAATGATAATGATCTATTGGACTATTACTGGCCTCACCCAGCATGAAAAGACTGATAAACTAAATTAAAATACATGAATTAAAGGTTAAAATATACAAATGAGAAATTGTGGAAAACTCGGTATTTAAAGTCGTCCTTGTTGTTACATTTATTTTGAAAATTCCGACAGGAACTATCGTATGTTGTTTCCGCCCACTTAACTCTGGAGTAAAAAAATCACCCAGGCGAGTGGGAGGAAGCCAACTTGGAAACACGGCGGAGAGAAACTCCCTCTTGTTGGAGAGCGAGGTGGTCCAGCGGCTCTAAGAGCGGGCACACGGCGGGCAACACAGACCGGGCTGTAATGAACCACCGCAGCCTAAATTCACAGCAGCCCTCCCCCTGCGAGCCACCTGGAAGTTTAAACTTCGCTTCAAACTTTCGGCGGGGCATCTCAGTCTGAACTCGTTCACTCGTTTTGTGTGAGCAGCCTGAAACCCGAAGCGTCCGCCCCACATGTTTCTGTTGTGCTCTCGCTAGTCTCCGGAACAACCAGGTGAGCAGGCCGTCTCGCTTTTCCCGGGAGGAGCCGCGCAGGCAGCGGTGTTGGTTTACCTGTAAGCACACGGTGACGCACGGATCTCTTTGACGCTCACCCCCCTGCTCCTGTGTTTCGCGCTGCGGCTCTCCCGTAGCCGCCGGAGAACAGCAACCCGGGAAGCCGCCGAGCACCGGGACGGTCATGGATCAACGAGGAGGGAGCGAGACCCAGCGGGGGGAAGGCTGGAGAACCCCCGCTGCGACTACCAGGAGGAGAATGCCGGTGGATATGATGTATGCTGTGGGCTTTATCTGCCTCCAAGGTTGGTAACAAGCTCCTCTACACTCCTACTACGAGCAGAGCACATATGGGTTTTATTTACTCCAGAGCATCCAGATACTGTAACTCCAGAAGAAGGAGTTTAAAAACATAAATAAGTGCTGGTGGAGCCAACATGGACCTCCATGCTTTTGTGACTACTTATGTAGCTGGTTGAAGTTGGTGCACTGTTGGAAATCCGTGCAAAGAAGGGCTGCTACAGAGAGTCAAAGGTGATGCTTGATGACTTTTTCATTCATGCAAGGAAAGTCTTTGTTGTACGTAGTGGAAATTTAAAGAAGTTAATTTTGTTGGGCAGGGAGCGGTGGTCAGTGAGGAACAAGGGGGTACCCCTCCCCCACTGAGCCCGTTTTTTTTAAGGGTAGGGGGAAGACTTGATTTTATGAGTTAGAAAGGCAGTTTGTTCCAGGACTGAGAGAAAACTTCAGGGAAGTTAGAGTGCGGGGGGGATGAAGAGTAAAAATGCTTTTTAAATTGAAAGGTTTGAAATTGTTAAACACTTTCTTTTTCTCACAATGCTGCAGCTCTTCTGTTTGCATATCACTGTAATTACACAGTGATTAAATTTCTCATCTGCAGCAGCAGAGGGGAATGATGGGATGATAGCTGGTTGTAATCTATCACTGAAGCAGCCCTGCCATGTCATTATGTGTTCCCTTGAGTATACTTCAAACCTCACACAACACACTGGATACGCCATTCCTTGATTATCATATTCATAACTCTGTTTTGGGTGTTTGAGCTGCCTCTCAGCTTTGGCACGCTGCATCATGGGTGACGGTGGAGAGGAGCTACAAAAAGTGGGGTAAAAAAGATAGTCACGATCCTTCTCTGTGGCCTCCCACGGCGTGAAGCCTCTCCGGAGTCCATAACCTCAGCCGCAGAGCGAGAAGAAAGCCGCAAGAAGATCCTTCCCGAGTTTGTGCAGAGGAATGCTGCTATCCTGCCGGGGGATCGGGATCAGAGACTCGGTGTTCCTCGTGTCAAAACTGAATCAAGTTTTATCTGATCTGCACAGATTGGGCTTTTGCTTGCTCTGTCGGCGCCGCAGTGATGGTCAAAAGTGGCTGAAAAATTCCTTGAAGTTGAAGTGTGTCTGGTGCCCACCCCCCCTCCATCCCTCCCTGCCCCCTCTTTTCCAGTCTCCTCATGGTGCCCGCTTTGGGGGATGAATGTGTCCTCTGTGTGCAGGCAGCAGCAGGGGAGACGGAGGCAAGCAAGGCAGTGGGTTTGTGTTTATAAAATGAATGAATAGAGCCAAGCCAGGTACCTTCACGACAGCCGTGCTTTTTTAACCCAACCTTAGGAATGCCCTATTTTTGTATTTTTTTTTTTTTTAAAAAGGGGGGCCTCTGAATGGGTGAAAGCGCCACAGAGATCTTTACTCCCCACATGAAGCCGTCCACACCAAACACTCCATGTTCCTGTGGCCAAATATTTACTGAGATCTGTCTTTATTTTGACTTGGCAGTCATAACTCTTTGCTCGGCTCCTCTGTTGATCTGGTTTCTATTTGTAGCCGACGTGACGTGGCAGCCCTCTGGAGTACATGAAAGCCACTCATCCAGTCAATGTCCATAACGTTAATGCAGCATCTCTCTTATCTGCTCATCTGTGGTGTATTTTTCATCATCTTTGCCTCTTTGTTTCTCTCCCCGTCCTGAAAGATTTATGTGAAAAAATGACTGGGCTGGTTGCAGAGGAGCGGCTCTTGTCAGGCCCTCGTCTTTGATCTTTCTCCCTCTCTCTGTCTCGGGCAGCTGGAGAAAATCACTCTATCACGCTAATAATCATCATTTTGCGATGATTAATGCACATCCTGTCCAGCTTCTTCTTGGGAATCACTTCTGAGTTTAGACTTTGTTTACTGTGTGGATGTTCTCTCTGGCTTTTCAGAATCTGCTATAAAACAAAACGCTGTTGCTACACTGCGCAAACCACAGAGCACGGCACTGGATCTGTTCATCTCTCAAAAAGGGGAAGAAGGTTTCAAGTAGAAGGATGCAAGATGTCAGTATTATCCCAAAGCTCTCCTATCCTGGAAAGTTGACCAGTGACTGTGAGGATGCCTCGCTGGCGTACCCACCCGCTGTTGCTCTATTTTAAAATCCATACGCTTGCCTCTTATTAGCCCTGCTGGGGTTGAAGGCTGTTTGGCTGCACACAAGGCGGATTCTCCGAATGCTTAAAGTCAGAGGGGATGGAGGGATGTAGACTAAACAAAGACAGAAGTGCATTGTGTTGAATTTGGAATTTGTCTGTTTACTATCAGAGGCGTGCGCAGCTGTTTCTAATAACTGTGTTGAAACTGAGCCATTGACTGTGGAAAAAAAAAAAAAATCCATATATATTTGATTGGATTGCAGTACAGACCGCAGCATGATTGTCTTCATGCATTTTGAAATTTCATCACAAGATGATATTGAGAAAGACCGATGAACATCTGTGCTGTGCAATGCATCACCTAACAGCAGCCTTTCTACACGTGTTATATTATTCCACTTATTTAATGATCTGATGGTAAATTTTCTTTTCAGTAATAAAAAACTCCTCATGCCTCATTTTGTAGCTGATGGGTGTTTCAGAGTTCGGTTGCTTAGGTGGCCTTCTAATGTAATGTCATTACCCTGCTTTCTGTCATCTCTATTAACAGTATCAGTCACGCCTACACAAAAGTGCTTCAGTCGCTCTCCTTGAAGTTGAGAAAACATTAAGTTGCGTTGCCAGTGGTAATTTGGCCTGTTGTCGTTGAATGGCACTGACTTTCTTTTGGTCTCTGGGTTGCCTTGTTTAGTCCGATCCCCCGATTTAGGATTTTTAAGACCCATACTGATATTTCTTTCAGTCGCACTTAAAATACACAGAGTTCCCTAAAATGTATTATGTGTAGTTATTTATTTACTTGTTCACACTCTGTTGATCAGCCTGTTGAAACTTCCCAGTGTCCATGGCTGACCTTTATCTGTGTGCCTTCAGTTTTGAAGTTAGGTAAGATATGATGAAAAGATTAAACACTCAAAAAATGTTCTTTTTTTTTACTCTGTCAGAAATAAATATCAGCAAAAGCAAAATAAGCACAGAAAACACAAATATTTGTTCATCTCCTTTTTATCGTAATTGGTTTTTGAGAATCTCCCAAATACCCCGGTGACAAAGACAAACGATCCGGGTTTCTCTTCTCCAATTTATGTTATTTATTGAGCAATATACTCTCAATATAA